TTCCAGACCAAAAAAAAATCATGCCTGCAGTACTTTTTTTTTTTTTAAAAGCACAGGAACTGACTGCACTGGTGGGAACTACAGCCCTAAAATACTATACGAATTCATGGGGATGCAATTTAAAAAACATTATGGTCTGGTGATGGTGGAAACAAGCCCTATCGCTCGGCTGTGTATCGCTCGGCTGTGTATCGCTCGGCTGTGTATCGTTCGGCTGTAGATCCTCCAATCATCTCTGACTTGGTTGCTGACACTGTCCTTCCTTCTGGAGGGTGGCTACTTTTGTTCCCCATGGTCCCTGTGTGTGTTGTAAAGTAGCCACTGCTCCAAACTCACTGCCATGATGGACTACAATCTCAGTGTAAACTAGTAAACTAAAAGTGAGATTGTAGTCCATCACAGGAGTGAGCTTGGAGTGGTGACTACTTTACAAATTTGTAAACTAAAGGTGAGATTAATGATTGGGGTACTTGAGTGCATTATTAAGACTTGACTGCTGAGTTTAGTGTCACTTTAAATGTGTTAATGGCAGAGTGTGCAGCAATAATCGACCCGGTTGCGGAATCCTTTACAATTAGTTTGTTTTACTCATATTCAGCTTACATTGTGACTTCCTGGGGAAAAGTGATGTGAAAGCTTGGTGGTTTTATCTGAACTCATACCGTGCCACGGGCAGAACCAGCGGGTGTCACTGTTGTTGTACGGAAATATTTTTACATCTGAAAGAATTCTGCTGTTACAAAAAAAACATACTGAAAGCTGTCTCTGCTGCAAGCCGTCTCTATGATAGGTTCATCAACTCTCCCTGTTCTTAAAAATCCATAAACAACCTACTTTTAAGACAATGTCTGAGAGCTAGAAAGGAAGCGTAACATCCACCAATCATAAAAGATGGAGTCTAATTTCTTTGCCTACAAGGTTATGATCCAAGACTTGATTTCAACCTCTTGTAATTCCCCGTACAGTTAGACTTGGGCAGGTAAGAGCAGCACTCTGGGTTCATCAGGTATCCTGCATTCACAAATGCTGACAGAAGCAGAGAGAAGATAAATGACCTCATCAGTTCATTGCTGCTCCTTAACTGTCCAGTTAAAGTCTGGGGCGCGGAGAGGTGACCAAGCTGTTTTGCTTAACAGCAGTAGAGAAAAGTCAGGTCAGTCAGTTCACTGTGCTGTCTGTCAGAACTGCATAAATCGCAGGGCTAGGTGGACAGAAATACAAATACTTAGCAGATAAAAAACAACCTGATATATTTATTTATTTGGCATTTTTAACCATTTTTCTTGGATTTTAACATACTCCGCTAGAATATAGTTGGTTAAAGGAAAAACTCCACTAGAAATGTATACTGTGGCCACATTGCATGTTTTTAATATGTTTGTTTATGCCTAAAAAAATGGTTTTGTATTATGTTTTAGTTGGGTGAATAGGAAATATTACATAGTATTATTTTTATTTGCCATTTGCATCCAACAGATGGCAAGCAGTCAAGCAGCTTTCTTTCCAAGTCATATTGTATCTGTTCCATGATATAGAGCTGGAGTCACTAAATGGCTGACTTGCACTGCATATTGGCTGGCTGACAGTGAATAGTGTTTCCACTGCCAACCATAACCCAGCGCAGGTTCCCTCTCTGCTTCAGTCATTGGTTGCTAGGGCGGCTGGCGTCCTAGCAACCAATGACGTCAGCCAGGGCCGGCTGCTACAACTACAAGTGATCTGGGCTTTGGGGGCCTGGGACCACGGCAAACGATGTCAGGATGGAGAGTGGGAGCAAGCCGAGGAATGTCCGTTCCCCAATCTGCTCTGTGATCACTGAATTATGAAGTGCTGCTCTAAGCGCTTCCTGCTTCATCTGTCATGAGTAGACAGGAGAAGAACCACATTCCTGTGCTTGATGGTCTGTATTGGAAGGCAGGGGAGACATCAGAGGTCTAATAGATTCCTGATGTCTCCGTGAAGAGAACCTGTCACCTCCAAATGCTGTCACAGGGCTTGTTAACCCCTTCGTCACAGCAAAAGTTAAGTGAAAAAAAAGTGATAAAAGTAAAAAATGATAATAAAAAGAAAATAAAACTTACCCTACTGCCCCGCCATTTAATTCGAATAAAAATGTGCACGTAAGGAATGCCGTGTATGTAAACGGGGGGGCCTCTAACAAAAAAATAAATAAAGTGCGATGTGCTGTGATTGGTGCATCAGCACTGTGCCTGGGAATACACACCAGCAGCACAGACTGAGTGATCGTTCTGTCTGGAGTGCGATTTGGACCTCGGCTCGATGTAAATTTTATTCACCAGACACTTTTGAATTTTAATTCATTATCCCCGATTATGCGGATCAGACAGACTGCAGATAGTGTCACACAAGAATGACATACTACTCTTCCTCATTCTTACCAGAGATGGGACTGTCTGCCTAGTCAGTTGTACGGAGGGTTCGCCCCAACAGTCACCCAAACTGCATACCATGTGAACTGCACGTCATGGCTACATCATGCATTAAATGTTTGTCTCTACAATAAGGATGTTATGCCGATAACATTATTTAAAACCATTTATAGACGTTTACAAATTTTGGAAAAGGAAGTTGACCAAAACCCAGCATGCAATGTAGAACACTATCTGAGAGAATATCTCCACCATGCTTTCAGCTTCCGGGACTAGGTGTAATAGTTAATGTATTTGTCCCTCCCTGTGTGTGACCCATCCACCTCTTTCTTGAGAAGTCACAGCTTAGAATTTCTGGACCAGAAAATAAAGCTTAACTCCCATAATTCCCAGCGTGAGGTGTGCCGGCCATCCATGATTATCTAAAACTGACAGAAAATTCAAATACTCACTGCTTTTTTCAGAAGTCTGCACAGAGCTTGGGGTAGCATTCCTGGCATCCCCAGCACTGTGCTTTAGGCTTGTTGCAGGAAGTCCCTTGTCTTTGGTGAAATACTGACTAAGGGTTCGTTAACACTAGCTGCATGGTAAAATGCGGCGTTTTAACGCGTGGCTAGTGTCCTCTTGGTGGAAGCGGTGGGCCATGGTGCCTTGTGTTGTTACAGTGCAAGACACTGTTTACCCCTTTTTTTTTCCTAACTTAATTTGAAGTGTACAAAGCATACACTCCATTCTTATCTCTGCATGGCAGCATGCAGTGATCTTTGGTGGCATCCGGTGTGCTATGGAAAAATGCGGTATGTCTGCATTTTACCGGACCCAGCCAAACATCACACTCGCGTTGTGTTGTGAGTGGGGGTAGATAGAAAACGATTGTTTTCTATGTGCCCTAGCAGCAACAGGCATTGGTCTGGTGCGAAAAAACCCCAGTCACCACTGTATGTGTGAATAAGGATGTCCAGGAATGATGATCTAATTAAAGAAGGTAAAGCTCTCTGATAGTAATTAGTGTCAGCAAGCTGATGGAATAGCCTGTTTCAGTACCCCCAGAACCGAAGCAGCTAAGACTGTTCCATACAGTTAGCTAAAAATCTAACAATGTATATCAGAGGAATGTAGAGTAGGCAGAGTGTGACTAATAATTGGTAGAGATGTTGGGGTGTAGTCATCCAGCATCTTGGAAAAATTATATCTTTGAGCACTGTCATTATGCCTAAGCAGGGAAGGAATTGCGTTTTTCTCATCAAAAGTGAATTTTCACGTCAATGTGCCAATGGGAATTGTCCATGTCACACAGACCGTGAAGTGGACAACTGGAAGAAGGACCCCTGCAGGAAATAAAAAAAGAGAAAAGAAGAACCCAGGGCTGAATGATCACGTGATCGCAAGCTAAGGCAAGTGAAAAAGTGAAGGTAGCTTATCCCTGAAACGCGTAGGCCCTAAACTGCATCACTGGCGAGTCCAGCGATGGGGGATTACTCTACATGGCTATGCTGTCCATTTGAGTTATGCGGTTAAGATCTTGGACTCCCATGTTTCTGAGTACCATTATCCATTTTTTATTTTCTTTAATAAATGATACTACACAAGGAGGCGGCACCTTTTTCTGATTTCTGTTTACTTAGAAAGGAGTTGGGATTTAAAAAATTTTGGTGTTATGTGATCTCATGGGGGAGACTGTCCATCATTCAATGTCCACCCTCACTAGGACAGGAAGCTGGGAAAACCTTTCCTAGTGGAGACGCATTTCTAAATGGTCCAAAAGAAAGAAATGGCTTGAGTTGCACTGTCAGCATTTCAGTATGTCCTGCCTGCATTGTAACTATTTGCTATGAGTTATTTCACAATATTGCTCTTTGCATTAAATGAAACGGTGTGAATAATTTCAGCTTGCATTAAGAAAGTGTAAGCAGTCCAAGCACCGGGCAGGCTTAGGAAGCCGAATGTCCCCTACCTGCCATTCTAATCTATATTTCTACTAGGAACTAGCTGCAGATCCTGTCACAGATGTCGAATGAATATACACCCACACACTGGCTGCTGTGGATGGTCTAATCCATCCCTAAATGCTGGAGACAAGCTGTTCTCAGAGACCCTTGACGTTTTTACTGGCGTTATAAACGAGAGGGATTGCATTTGGCGTGTAAGAGACGCGGTAGTCACCTGCAGAGTTCAGAGCAGATTCATGGCATGACTGGCCAATTTTACCTGAAAACAAGGAGAATGATATCACTTTGCTAGTCACGCAATCGAGTCCCACATTTATTTATGGAAACCATTTTGCCGTAGCAGTTTAGTGCAGACGCCAAGTCATCCCTGTCACGGATGCTAAACAGCTCCACTGCTGAGCTTCAATTTCACTGTGTTGACACAACAGTTATGGAGCGAAGCATAGTAAGATTTTTGTGTTTTAAAGGCTGCGTAAATTCAGTCTTGGCATGTACTTTATAAACATGCCATTTCTTGTTTTACATTTAGATTTTATTTCACCTTTGGTGATTTTTTTTCTCCCCCCCCCCCCCCCCACCCCAGATTTACTTTCGGAATCATTTTTGCGTTCCCTCAGAGCTTCAGCGGCCCATAGCAATACTGGTGTGCATTGTGCATAGTTTTGCATTAATGTCTGTTGCATATCATTTAACATCTGCTGGCCTTCGTTCCATACATCAAGTTGTTGTTGTAGTTTAGCGGTGAATAAACAGCGCTGTTTAATGCCGGCACGCCAGCTAGCTACTCCAGAATAACAGGACTGAGCGCCGAGGCAAGAATATGCTTCCTGTCATTTTCATATTTGAATACAACTTTTTTTCTTTGTATTACACTTTAGGTAGAAAGAGCAAGTGTCAGACAGCAGTTTAAGGGTTTGAGTTACTGGGAGTGCTGTGATGTGCTCTGTTAAAGGGGAATTAAACTCTGGAAGCCATGCCTAAAAAAGGCAGGTCAAGGGCAAAGGACTAGCCACCAGTATTGTATGTGGTTTCTCTGCAGCTGATCTTTACCCCATTACTGAATTACCATGCCTTGTTCTGTAATGTGTCTCTGTATGGAGGTGGCCAGCTTGGTAAAGTCTTCTGCCTCTTTATTTCAGGGAGCAGCACAGTAGAGACATTACCAAATCTCACTCACAGCTATGAGTGCCTAGGAACCCTCACATCCCAGGACTGCACTACTATATTTCAGGAGGAAGTCTAGACAAAATGTACATTTTTCAGGGTACTCATGCACAGTAACATTGCTGGATTTTCCTTTATGACATTGTAAATACTAAAGTAGAACTGGGGCCACAATTTGTTTTTTCTTTAGTTTTGGATAGAGTTATGGGAGTAATAACCCTTGTCAGTTTTTATTTTGCCTTCTGTACCCCATTGGGAAGATTTCCCTTCCTGTCTAATATAATAGTAAGTGAGAGAAAATCCCTCCAAAGAGAGAGAAGTCCCTTGTGGTCAGCAGTGTCACTAGAACTAGTGTCCCCACTGGAAGATTTCCCATCTAATCCTGTTCTGATGACAACCCAACATTTGGGACTTTCTTTCACCTTCAGTGAGAATGGTCACCAGGACCAATAGAGAGGGTGAATCTGCCTAAAGGGGACATAGGTTTTTTTGTTTTAATCTCTCTCCACTCTATCCAAATCTAAAAAAAAATGGCTTCAATTGCACTTTTTGAGCTCAAGTAGTATGAAACTCTCAAACCTTTTTTTCAATAATGAATCCAGATCAAACAAGCAAAGTATTTCTTTAAAGATCTGCTCAAGCACTTCTGGTAATAATGTTTCCTGCTCCAACTCTCTCAGCTTGGCTTCCCTGATCTTCCTGTCCAGTACAAGATCACTAGGGACACAACAGTCTCTAGCAGCCATCCATCAACTAGCTTGGAGAAGGGGAGAGGGGGATGGGGGGGAGTGAAGTGACTTGCTTGCTGTGTCTGTGTGGAGATGCACACAACTTACTATCACACACAAGGGTGGCTCAATAGAACCCTGCAAGAGAAAGGAGCCACCCTAAACCAAGAAATCAGGGCCAGAGCTCAGGGGAGCAGCTGATTCTGCAAGAAACTAAAACGTTTAAACATCAAGGAGCAGCATTCATTGTAAGTGATTTCATCAGTATTTGAAACAGCTCAAAAAAACGTTTTACTTTGATCCTATTTTTTTAAAAGGCTCTAACGGCAAGTGGACTGTGGATGTTCCAAGAACTATAGCTCCCAGCATGTCTTTCCTGCCTCCCGCACTGAGGGCTGAAATTGCTTGTTTCACTTGCATGTGATTGAAGTAAACCTGTTATGTGAGAATAGGGTGGGCTGCCAATACTGACCTCCTACTGCAAATGCTAGTTACCTGGCCATTATGTGAGCTGTATCGCTTGAATACTTTAGGTCACTGACGCAAGAAAGGTTAGGAAAGCCGAGGTGGGGACTGCACACTTGTTAAACGTTATATTAAAAATCAATATAGTGAAAGCTCAACTCCAGGTTCAAGGAGTGAACTTAAAGGAGAACTATGAGGTGAGTGAAAATCGCTCATCCTCATAGTTCGAGCCGACATGTGACAATTAAACTGTCACACGTCGGCTCAATAGATCGGGAAATAAGCCAACACATACCGTCGCTCGCACACTCACTTCGCGATCATCTCCATGCAGAGAGCCGTGACTGACAGTCATGCCTCCTCGCACGGATTCCCCCCTTCCCGCTCTGATCTTCCAGTGCTGACTGGAGGAACGGACGGGGAGGGGGTGGGCACTGGGTACAGCTGGCTCTATCTCTAGATAGGCAGAGCCAGCTGTCAATCAGCCAGCTGGGTGGATCTAGACAGTAATGTCCGGATCGGTCCCGGTTGCGGCGGTCTCAGTATATCGCGAGCTATAGCTCACGATATACTGAGCTTTGGGTCACAGGAGGACACTAGTTTATGTCCTGTTTATGTCCTCCCGTGACCCATAAGAGAACTATGGGAAAAAACACTTACCCCATAGTTCTCTTTTAAATTGCAAAAGATACATCACTACAGGACAGACAAGCTGGTCTAAGGAACCCCAGCAAGTGTCAGGGAAAACAGGTATTCGACCCACCCAAAGTGTGGAATACTTGGAGCAGTGAAGACATTTAACACACGGGCTGCTGAAATGGTAAGTATATTCCCTCTTCTTTTACATGTATGGTTTTGTATACAGGGAATTCTGTGGTGACAGGTTCACTTTCTTTGCTGAGAAAGCCTGTTTATAATTCTTATAGCTATATGGTACTGCTCATATACATGCAAAGGTTTGTAGGTAGGCCATTATACTGTTATTATTATTATTATTATTATTAATAAACTTGCCTTGTATTGTTTTTATGTGTAGGAAACGGTGGAAAAATGTGTTCAAGCAGACGTGAGTGAGGTGGTTCTGGTAAGATGTATACTTGTTCTAGAACTGTGCTAGTGTACTGTATTAGAACCCACACAGGTTACATTTTATGTAATAGGATGTTATTAATGAGATTTGTCTATTTATCTCTAGAAAGAATCTGCAGTTTCTGAAATTCCATCAGTTAAAGTTGTTGCAGATGAGGAATTTCTGCCATTTAAAGATAACACATTTGACCTTGTTGTCAGCAGTTTAAGGTATGAGGTTTTGATATCTCTCAATGTCCCATGCCATTAGGAAACCATTGCCTCATTTTTTAAAGAAGAACTGTGGGCAAATTAAAATCTTAATCCTTGCAGTGGGGCTACCCCCGCACTGCAAGGGTTAAATGCTCAATTTGTCTAGGGAGCTACAATAACAAATATATACTCACCTAAAACACAATCCTTTCTGGCTGTTAGACCGGTCCCTGCAGCCTGTCTCCTCCTCTGTTCCAGCAGTCTAAGGTCTAGTGAGTCATCAGGACGCCATGGGACCTTGCATCGCTGTAGCAGAGGAGGAGACGGGCTGCAGGGACCGGTCAAGGATCCAGCCAGGATCGCGTTTCAGGCGAGTATAAAAGTTATTTTAGTTCCCTAGACAAAACGGGCACTTAACCCTTGCCGTGCAAGGTTTTATATGCCCGGAGTTCTTCTTTACGGTAACTAAAACAGTAATTGCCTCTGTTACCTGTAGCAATCATGGTTTTGTTTTTTCATTTTTACTCAGTACTGCACTGGGACAATGTAAGATGGGGAATCTGGTTGCTATGGCCAACACCGTCAGTTTATTTCCGGCAATTTGATACAAAATGTCTGGAGTTAAGACACATACAAGTGACATAATCTCAGTTTATTTCTACTTGTGCATTATATAATTATCACTCTTCTGTGTTTTCCAGCTTGCACTGGGTGAATGATTTACCTAGAGCTTTTCAAGAGGTAAGAACCATACTCCTAAATGTATACAGTTTCACAAAAAAAAGACATTTTACTTCTCAAAATCTCTTATAAATCTGCACTTATTTAAACAGAGAAATTTGGGGGATTTTAGCTTTAAATAGGGTGAGGAAGCCTTAGCACCTCTGTTAACCCATTACCACCAGCTCCCGATGTTCCTTTAACGTAGAGGGTTCTGATCATGTGACCAATGTGATTGGCTCAAAAACTGTCCCACCACCTCTTGGGACTCCGGAGACCTCCGGTGACTGGGAGCTGTCTGTGACAGCTCAGTCAGTGTGCTGGAAACTGTTTGTAGATCGTCATTACTAAACATTTCTAAAGGTGTGTTTGTTGTTGTTATTTTAAAGATCTTGGTAAAGTTCCTCTTTAATATATCTCCCTTTACTTCCTGGAACTTTGGCACATGTGACTAGGACATGTGACCACGTACATCATCTCAGGGGAGGTAAATGTCTTTCCCTGGGATCTCATGAGCTATCCCAGCAATGCTCTGCTGATGTAACCTTCCCGGGGTGCATCTCTTAGGCATGGACTACATCACTAATGCCTAAGAGGACAAGGAAGTGGAAAAAACAATATCTGTAAGTAAAAGAAAAATACATTTATTTAACTAATGAATGTATCATGAATTCATATCAGCATACAGAGCTGCATGCTCATGTGATTTTTAGTGAAAGGGGGTAAGGGTCTGCTTTAAGACCCAACCAGAAAAGAGATAATTCTGGAGAAACACTATCTGTAGTCACCAGGAGCTGCCATCAGCTGGACGGCACATAATAAAAATAATAAATGTTTTAGGGAGTGCACTCTGGATGATTACATTCTGCGGGATAACGAACTGTGACCACATGGCAGTAGTATTATGTCACTGACCAGCTACTTTTCCAAAAGGCTCTGAAACTATTTTATTCCAAATGCCATTCAAATATAAAAAAACAAACCCACTTTTCACTTTAAACACAGAAAGGTAGGAAGCATTTGTTACACAGAAAATCTATGATTTAGTTTGTATTAATCTCCTTGTGTTTAGATCTATCGGGTACTTAAAGACGATGGAGTGTTCATTGGTGCCATGTTTGGTGGAGAAACACTGTATGAACTCCGCTGCTCCTTACAGCTAGCTGAGCTAGAGAGGGAAGGAGGCTTCTCACCTCACGTGTCTCCATTTACTGCTGTTAATGACCTCGGTAATCTGCTGGGAAGAGCTGGCTTTAAGATGCTGACTGTGGTAAGTTACAGGGGAACAGGAGATTGGGGAGCATATTCTATTTGGCTTGGTGTAGTACAATGGAGTCCCTAGGCTAAGTCTGTGCTTAATTCTGATGTGCTAAACTGGCAGTAACAGAACAGGTATTCCACTAATATCATCATAGGTGTTCTGAGAGCCCAAAAACAAGGGCACTCTGTTATGTAAATAGCAAACAAATTTGAAGTTTGAGTTCTGGCCTGCCCTCTTCAACCTTGCTATTGGTTCATCACCATGGTGGGTTGCCTCACTGACCAATAGGGATATATAAGAAGGGGCAGGCCTTGAGGTCTGGAACTTAAACAGTTAAGTTCCACGGCCATTTTCACATTTCATCTATAAGCCTATTAATACACAAATAACTCTGTTACTTACTAAATAATGCAGTGAGGGTTTTGCTGTGACAAATACAGCGTTCTTTTGGTGATATCGGCTTTTATTTCATTTTGCATTTACAATATACAGATAGTGAAATAAAAACACAATAAGTGATTTTTTTCCCCATGGTGGCCACTGGTCACTGGCGAGTGATTACTAGCCCCCTGGCTTCCTAATTGGCCAGAAAGCCCACTCCTGGTGACAAAGGAGCATGGAGCCAGCTTCCCTGGTAATCAGGAGGCCGGGTGGCAAGTCATTACACGCTGTCCGGCTTCCTTAATGGGACTTCAGTGATCAGTATTCAATATCGGCGAGTACCGGAAATAAAATATCAGTACTCGATACTGAAAAAACTTTATTGGTGCATCCCTACTTATCACCCCTGTACATGTTGGGAATTGTAGTTTGCAAGCACATGATCAGTAGTTGGTAACGACACAGCAGCAGTTTGAATGTGCACTCCTATAATGATGAGGTTTTTTTGACACCTTGAAGTAAGAGGATGAATGCTGCATACACACTTTATAACTGTACAAAAAGCATGTAAACAATTACAAAGCATTGAATGCCTTCTATTAAATTCCTCTGATCTAGAAGGCACAGAACACACCAAGTGATGAAGGAGTTAAGAAAGCTAGATGGTTGCTGGCTGCATATGAATAGTCATTCAGATTTGAAACATATAACATAACCAGTTATATTGTTTAGCGTCTTAATTTGAAGAATCTTCCGCACATGACATCATGATTGTAAGAGATTTTATTTTAAGATACATAAAAGCATGAAGCCAACCATACCTGTTGCGCTTCTACACATGAAAGGTAGGTGGTGCTGTCTGCTTGCAGTAGGAGCATCACAACTGAGATCTTTGCTGGTTCCCTGGAGTGTTTCATATGTTTTGCCTGCTGGAAATTTGGATAAAAATGCAGGAATTATAGAATTTCATAGTCGACAGCTGCAACTTTCTTTTACACTGGAAACACTACACTACAGTACACTTGACTTTTGGGGACAAAGCTAATCAGGTTACACAAAAGACTGAAAGAGAAGCCTTTCTCACATCTCCTGGATAGCTGGTTGTAGACATAACAGGGAGGTTTGGGAGGACATAAGTGGACAAAAATGATGTGGCAGCTTGTCCAGACTGTCACCTAGACTTGGATCTTCTCCTATCCTAGCTCTATGTACTGAGCCCCCCCAGTGTGAACCCCAGCAATGGCCATGAGGAAAAATGAATTGTTGCAAGATGAAAACAAAAGTGACAAAGGGCCCAGGAGCAAAACATGTGTTGGTGTTATCTTGCTCCTGATGACTTTGACGTGTTTTTCATCATTTAAACATGTCATTCTGGTGATTCAGCCATTTTGAACTCTCCTATGTTTATGGAATATCTGAGATCCCAGAAAGAGGGGGACACCTTCAAACCTCCAAAACCTGTTGTCTGCCCAGTATTCAAAGTTTTTGGACTCTCAGCTTATTGGTCTGGTGCTGCTTTTGAACTTTGTATATTTCCAAACTTGAAGTGCCCAGTTTAAAGGGTAATTCCACTTTCCCAGATGCATTTGGGAAAATGGAATTACCCTCTCCCCCCCCCCCTCTTTTGACGAACGCTCCTTCCCCTCTGCCAGTACGGGAGTACTATCCGTACCTTGTACTGCTGTTTAGCACAGCCCTATGCTCTGGATTTTGAATTTGGCATGCAAATAGCGAGCACTCATTGGTCAGCACGGTCACCTGGCCGCCTGACCAATGAGAAATGCTTCTTTGCAAGAATCCATTGGTCAGCGCAGTCAAAAGCGCTTCTCATTGGTCAGTGCAGTCAGGACCAATGGGTGCAGACAAATGAGTGCTCGTCAATTGCAAGTGAAATTCAAAATCCAGAGAACAGGGCTGCGCTAGATAGCAGTACAGGGAACGGATAGCACAACTATACCAGCAGAAGGGAAGGAGGGTTTGCTGAAATGTAAGTATAGCAGAGAGGGGAGATGGGGCCAGATTGGAGGGGGTAACTCCATTTTCCCAAATTCACCTAGGAAAGTAGAATTATCCTTTAAGGGGCAGCCAGTTTGTTTTATATGCACAGCCTCACCAGAGCCATTGAACACCATATACATTTGTTTGATCTTCTTCAATCATGATCCACTCATGCTTAAAATTCAGTGTCTTAGTTACACATATTCCAGTCAAACAGGCCACCTTGATACTGTTTACCATAAATGAAAAATGCCTATTGCTCATAACCTGCTTTATGCTTATTCATGATGCCTATTATAAGCATTCCTGTGAAGCCAATCTTTGTCATGTGTAAAGTAAGACCATTGTATTGTAAAACAGATTGGTAGCCCATTCAGTTGACTTATTTGTTTACATTTAGGCTTCCATTGCCGATCCTCCAATGATCATTTGGCGTCTTCTATTAAAATCTGGTTATATAGCAGAATCAGCTTAGAGTTGGGAACTCTGCTGTGTACATAAAAACTAGACAAATGACAGAGACCTTACCTTGTGTAATTAGTGGGCTGCTGTATGTTTAAGTCTTCTTTTTAGTGAAAATTCCATTTGAAGGCTGAAGTGTAATATTTCCATTTAACGTCTTCCCTTTGGTCTCTGCTTTTATCTTTTTATAGGGACAAAATCATTTTGATGGCACAGCTATCAATTTATATAGCTGGCTGACGCTTGTCACCTGCAAACTGCAATGACCAGATCGTAACTCCTAAGGACAGAGCAGCACCAAACTGTTTTACACTGACTACTACCATGTGACATGGAATAAAAACCACATATTCGGTCATTCAGCTTGTAGTTATGTAATTCCTTTGTGTGATCTTATTTCTGCAGGATACAGATGAAATTCAGGTTCACTATCCTGGGATGTTTGAACTAATGAAAGATTTGCAAGGCAAGTATACATTATTTGTAAATGCATGCTTTCCCTTAATGTCTAAATAACACCTTGCATAAGATTATAATTAGATCAGTGCAGCGAATGTCTGGTTGCACTGACATGCCAGGGTTTGTCCATGGATGAATGACCTGCATGCAGAACCTCTGAAGTCTGGAAACATTTCTCCTGACAATAGAGCAGATTTGAATACCAGATGCTACAGTCTGCTGCCCAAAACGTTGTCTCTCATATACAAGAGTTCCTGGAACAGTTTTTTAAAGGGAATGCATAGTGCATAGTGTTCTTATTTTTTTTTAATTTGTATATTATGTTCAGTAGTTAAAAAAAATAATTTAATTTCTGCATAGTCAAGCTTAAATGAAAATTTGCATATAAATGACAGTTATGTTAATCTGCATTGTGTTTTGTGTGTTTTCAGGTATGGGAGAGAGTAATTGCGCTTGGAACAGAAGAAGCTTGCTGCACAGGGATTCCATGATAGCAGCTGCATCCATATACCAAGGTAACATATCCCTCTGAAATGCTGTTTTCTTTTATCAGAATCTTCATGTCACTATGATCACACAAGCTTTGACATCATATGTGATATTTACTAGGGATGCACCGATATATCGGCCGCTGAAAATGGCACTTTTGGCTAAATGCCGAAAGTGCAATTTTTGTGCCGATACATCGGCGCCTCTGGGCACTGCTCTGTGCACCTGCGGGGAGGAGAGAAAGTGTGACAGCCGGCCGAGCGCTGCGGGAGGAGAGCACTGTGACCTGCCAGCGTCTCTCCCCCCACCCAACTCAGCCTCCTATCACAGTCCGGCAGAGTGGTGTGGGGGCGGAGACAGCCAGCGCTGTCACAGGAGGCTGAGCTTTCCTCCCTGCTCCACTCGCTCAGCCTCCTGTGACAGCGTGTCAGAGAGGAGAGTCAATGCAAACACTCAGTGATCAGTGATTGCTGAGTGTTTGTAGATAATTGAGGACATAGCATGTTGACTATAGCCTCAATTATGAATTAATGGAAAGTGATCTACATCACCTCCTGTTCATTCATAGTTGTAGTTATAGTAAATATACTTTGTCCTCATGTTATCAATGAACAGGAACACTCATAGAGGATTCCTGTTCATTGATAACAGGGGCTGCAGAAAAAGAGATTGAGGACTTTGTGTCCTCAATCTCTTTTTCTATTTTAAAAGGGAAATATCAGGGGTCTGTTTAGACCCCCAATATTTCCCCAAAGCCCCTAACAGTAAAGTAAAAAATAAAAATATTTATAAAAATAAATTTAAAAACATTAAAAAGTTTATAAAAATAAAATATTAAAAAAATTAGAAAATTAAAATAAAAAAACATTTTCGGTTTCAGCCTTACAATTTTTTTTATTTTTTTTGGCTTCGTTTCGGTTTTGAAATTTGCATTCCGGTGCACCTCTAATATTTACCAGCTTATGGCTTTGGAATCAAACAGATCCTGATCCAGCATGCTGGTAAACATTGAAAGATGGCAGCTATAGACTTTAGCTAGATGTCTGTTGATCCATTTATGTCATGTATTATTTATTTTTTTGTTGGCAAGGATTAGAATCCTTGACAGGTTTTTTTATTGCTGTCTGGGTGCACAATAGGGATATTTCTGCTTACTTTCGGTGTGATGCCCAGTACAGGATTCTACGGGAAATCTCCCCAATGGGACACAGACAGCAATAGAAATATGACAAAGGTTCTAATCCCTTACTCTAGCAAAAAAAATTGCTAGCGTTCAACTTAAAAGAGAACCTTTTCTCAGCCCATGCATTTCAAAGTAAATGGTTATACTCCTCTACTGCTTATACCGGTTGCCTGAGTGAGCTTAGGTGGGGAGGAGGTGCGGTGCACAGCGTGTGGAGCTGTGAACAGGGCCAACTGATCAGAAGGCGATTAATCGATTATTGAAAAAGTTGACAACTTTTTCAATAATCGATTATAATCGATTATGTCGATTAGTTGTTGCAGCCCTAATTGCAAGGACTGAGTGCTTACACATAGCTTTTTACTTGTTATTAGCAGCCGACTGATGGAGCAAAGGGAGGGCAAGTATAAGCAGTGAGGGGCAGGCAATTCATTTCTTGACTTTAAATTTACCTTACATGACCAAAGTACAGGTTCACGTTATCGAGAAATGGCAGTCAATTATTGAGGGTGAAATCAATCATAGCTGACCTCCAGACAAACATTAAAAAAAACTGATTAAATACATATAAGGTGGCGGTTTTACCTTCCATAGTATTGGCATTTTTATTTATGCAGCCCCATCACACAGCCAGAAGGATGACACTACCTTCTGTGTTACAGTTAAAGCATGCACTGCTGACACCACCCCGTGCCCAGCCTGTTCATTGCACAGTGAAGGAGCAGCAGTAGCCTGAGTAGGTCAACTCTCTGCTCACTATGCTGCCTTTTCCTTTCACCACAGCACTTTGCATGCAGCTTACCTGTTTCACTCTGTTAGTCTAAGTGTTGTTGTACAGTGAACTGCAAGAGGCTGGTCTGAAGTAAAATTCATGTACAATCACAGTTGCATTCTAAACATACTCAGTTATTTATTAATGAACATTAAAAAGATAACACCTGTAAAAGAACAAATGTATTGCTGGCTATAACTCCTGAGGGTTCAGTTGGGCCTTAACAATGCATACTGTCCAGTTGTACATTTAGTACTTGTTGGGGTAAAATGTACAGCCCCCCCCCCCCTCCATTGCAAGGGTTAAATGCTTATTTTGTCCAAGGAATAGGAATAAGCACCAGACTTGGCTTATTGCTTGCACTGTTCTTGGTGACATAGGAAATATACAACTGGTCGGGCAATGAAGAGGAGTAGCTTTGGGATGGAAGTCTGCAGGAGCGCGTAATTAGGTAAGTATGAAGGGGGGGCGGCACTGCAAGGGTAATTCTTTCTGCTGCCCAGAGTTAGGCGTTAATATGCATCAGTATTAGGAACACGTATCAGAGTTACACCTAGCTTATACCCACATTTTAAAAATGTAAAACACGGAACACAAATAGCTCTAATTAATTAAGGGTCTTGGCTGGGGTGGACATATTTGTGTCTCCCTCTAGAACAAGGCTAATCATATATGCCTCAGCCCAGATGTCTTGACTTTTACAGCAGCGGATCAGTTTGTTCTCTTTTGCTGTTTGAATTACTGCACACACGGGTCCCTAAAACACATTTCATCTTTCCATAGAGATGTACGGGGAAGAGGAAGGCTCTGTACCAGCAACGTTCCAGATATACTATATGATTGGGTGGAAACCTCATGAATCACAGGTAATCAGTGAGGCTTCTTGTGCAGAGCGTGGGTCATAAAGAAGCTCCCAGACTGACTGCTTGCACTGAACATCTGCTCATGTAAACACAATAAATATGAAATTACAATAGAATGAAGGAGTTTATTGAAATTGGGGAATTGTTCTGTTTGCATAATTTTTAAAGTATTATTAATAGTCCTGATGAGGATTATGTATGATATTTGTCTTGCTGTAATGCTGGTGTGTATTCATGTAATGCTAGGCAAATGGAATAATATTAACACGATCCTGCAGTTAAATTCCTCCCCAGCCACCTTGGCCCTTGTCATAATAAATGTATAAACATTTGTATACAAATCCCTCTAATGTCCACCTGTGCTACAGAAAATGCTGATCCAGGCTCGTAAAGCAGCTCACGACATAGCCATATTGCTAGGCATATAGTCAGGTGATCTGAGCTTTATAGGAGTTCCAGGATACCACCATAGGCATATGTCATGTGACCATCTGCCACGGGCACCCACAACAGTGTTTTCTGTAGAACAGGTGAATATTGCATGCCATTTTCTATCTTTTGTTATAACAGGGTGCTCATGGCAGAGGTTGGCATTGTGGCATCTTTATTGTAACAGGTTCACTTCAGTGCGGATGCCATAAGAAGCATTTACATAATTTCCCGTCCACTCCCAGACCCCACAAGATTTTCAAGTTAAGCATCAAAAGGCTAGCTAGGCACAATGTCCCACTGCCATGTGACATATCTAGTAGCTGACTGGTTGGTTTCTCTTGGATTAACCTTTTAATTGCTGGCAGGCACAGTGCAGGGTCTCTTGGGCAGATGTTAAAATTCACACTGCCTAGCGGACATCTAAAACACTGAATGTAACCGCACATATGGACGTTGTACTAAAAGGGACATAGAGTTAACATACCATAGAAAATCATAAGTACTTGCCTGAAAATCAAGTCACATTTTCATATCCAGTCGCTCTCTCCCAAAACATGAAATCTATTTGTTCCAGATGAATAATCTATCCCTGTGTTGACAGCAGGAACCTGCAATGTATCGTGTAGCACACTATCACGGCTACATCAAGCAACAAATGAGTGTTTGGTCCGGTTAGGTTTGCTTTTATGCTCCCCATTATTAAACAAGCCAAACATTTATTTCTCTTTATGTTTAAATGAATTCATTGGATTTCATTACATAAAGCGGCATCAGATCCAATACACCAAGCAGCTAGAATGAGATTGTGTGGTGATTCAATTTAGCTTCAGAGCTGCACAAAAAAATTGCAAACAGACCTGAAATATTTTCTTTCCCTCATTTTGTTCTTTCAGGCAAAGCCAGCCAAGAGAGGTTCTGCAACGGTGTCATTTGGAGATCTTGGAAAATTAAATGAAATTGTATCAAAGTCTAAGAAAGATGAAAGCTAAACAGACCGCTTTTCACAATATCATTTCTGAGCTGGATAATAGAAAAGGCTTTTACAATAAACGTTTTGTGGAACTCACTATCCTAAATATTTGAGTTTTATTGTTGCATGAGGTATTACTGTCTCATGATTTCTCTTTAAAGCAGGGGTCCCCAACCCCCAGGTAGTGGAACGGTACCGGTCCATGGCCTGTTAGGAACAGGGCAGCAGGATCCTAGACCCATTAGAAATCTGGAACAGCGCGTTACATCTGTGCAGGGAAGCTACTGGCTTTACAGTTTAAAGCCATTAGCTTACCCCGCACAGGTGCTCGTGTGTCAATTTTTGCCTCGGCTATGAATGTAATGGACCCGCTTCTCCGCACATGCGCATCCCCACCCCCAATACACACCCCCCCCCCCCCCCTTCCCTGGTCTGTAAAAACATTTTCTTCCACAACACCGGTCCCTGGTGCCAAAAACGGTTAGGGACCGCTGTTAAAGGTCATCTAAAGCCAAGAACAAAAATGTTATACATTGCAGCATACTTGTCCTAATGGTTGCATTAGTCTTCATTTTTCAAGCAAAACAATATTTAGGAATTCCATGAAATACCTATCTTTCCAAAAATGTTGTGTTCTTGTAACTTCAATGTAATTGACTTAAAACACAAATCTTTCTCTCCTAATCTCAAAGTCCATCCTACCATCCTAGTGTGACAACCCTGACTCCCTCCATAGATTCAGTGAAGTGACCATAGCCACCCTAGGGCAGGAAGTGCATTAATTCACAGGATTACAAGGTGAAAATAAGTAAATAACAGAAAAAAAGAAAATCAAAGCAACCACCACATCTAAGGACTGGTAACATGTAATATATTAATGACATTTTTGTTTTTGGCTTTAGATACGCTCTAATGTCTCAACTCTGCAATATTTTGAAATGTAATTTACAGTAATCAGAGAGTGTGACAAGCTGCTTGTCTCTTTCAAGAGGTAAATGAGTCTACTTCGGCTCTCCCTGAGCGCTCCTTCTTTGGCAATCTCTCCTCTCGGTAGGGTACACCATTTCCAGATGTCCTCTACTTGGTAAGTGCAGGAATGCATGCATCCATACTGACAACATGCCTGTGATGACAGGATCACATGTGTGTCAGAGCGCTGCATCAGTGCCTGAGAAAAATGTTTTCTGGCTGTTTTGGTGTCCTGTCCGTTTTTGGGCTTTTTTGTAATAAAGTGCAGGGAACTGTCCTTTGACACCCAGCCAGGCAGTATGGCTAGTGATGCACACTGAACTACATCATGTCTGAGGACACTTGTGACCCTATCCAACGCATGTTTTGGCTTGTCTGAGAGATCTGCTAGATATGAACATGTTTCTCTCTCTCCTGTCTCCATAGAAATCACCTTGTATATTTTTAGCATCCAGCCTAATAAAACTTTCCAGCTGAAACCTTTTATTTTTTTTAAATAGGCTGATAAAAAGTATTACACAGTATTTTGAAGATGTATGGCAAGCCAATTTATGGCATACAACTGCATTTTATGGTGACCTTTATGAATTCGAGATGCTTGGAGAAGCTGCAAGAGTGAATTGTGATATGCATGGGACAGCACATGCATTGTGCAATGACAAATGATCTGTGACCATCTAAATATTAGTAAATTGAGTCATAGAAAGAGTGCAGTTTGAAAACTGCTTTCCAGAGCTTTAGGTCCCTAAAATGTACTGCTCTGTAAGACACAGCAGGAGGTGACTGCTGGCTCACATAAATTCTGCTAAAAGGCTCCAAGAAGGGTTGTTGGTTTGTGCTATATGTGTCATCAGGTGCCGTCACTCTTTTTCATGGCCCCACAGATTAAAACTTCTACATGTATGGGCTTATGTGAAGGGATTTTTAATATAATTCTCTCCTGAACCTCGAGTACATTGTATGTGCTGCAGCATACATCTTTCATGCTCTCACTGTGCCTTAGATTTTTTTTTATCCCTCCAAGTGGGTGGGCAGGCAGCTCCAGCAACGTGGCATGTCTTCTGATGGTATACCTAGAGTTTTAGTAGCAGAAATCCATCCAAAATGGTGGTGCCCAACAGCAGCCTCAAGGTTTTTGGATGTCTACACAAATGAGGATTTTAAGATAAATAAAATGCATAAATTACAATAAATGGATATCAGATCTTATGGGAGGGATGTTTTTGTAATGAAGGGTTTCTTTAAAATGACTAGTTGAGGGTGACACAGTATATTTCCACACTATGGCACACTTACCTAGTGTGCCATAATGCCTCTAGCACTCCAGGTTCAGGCTCACTGTAACCACTCTGGCCTCCACCACCAATTTCTTGACTGCTTATTCTGGGTCTCTTCAGCCACTGGGCGGCCACTGATGATGTAGCTCCTGAACATGCGCATAGGAGTTGGTTTGTCCCCAGCATCCGTCTTTATCCTTATTCTCTAACAGATGCTAGGGATGACCCGGGAATATACACTGCACTGTGCATTATCTCCTTGTGCATGATCATTTATTTCCAGACTTCAATTGTGCTGTGAGCATGGATGAACATGGGGTTATAACATCTACAGTTATGAAAGGGAGTAGTAGCTCCTACTGTCAAGTAGGGGTCTCAGTATTCTTACTGGACATTTCTTTTACATATAAAGCTCTAATTCAGACAAAGGGAGATTCAGTAAATATAAAAAGTCACTAGTGAACCCAGTATATCAGCCACCTAGAACTAACATATCTATTATGTGTTAACCAATCCCTTAAGCCCATTTCAGATTAGGCGTTGCATTAAAACAGCTGTGTTAAAACACCCCATTCATCTTGGCTGGCCCTGTAATTTATTTATTTTTGTCTTGCACACGTACATTATAGTATGCTACAGTGCAATTGTGCACATCAGGATAGTCAGTGTGAGCTTTAGTATTTTTAGCCGGATATCTAATATTATCCGATTGAGAGATTAACATTAACAGCCTTCATAGTTCCTTTACAGTTTTCCTGTAACCCATTGCTGTTGCCTCCTGCTGGTCCTTTAACTAGGTCTTAGGCCTGGTTCACACCTGAACGTTTTGTAGCGCGTTCAATGCTCGACGAACGCTCTACAAAACGCTCAAACATCTAAATCCCAGTGTATTCAATGGGTCTGGTTCACACCTTGCCGTATTTCCGCCCGTCCGAACGCGATACAAAACGGCCTACGCCCAAAGAAGTACATGTACTTCTTTGGGGCGTTTTGGTCTCGCGTTTCCATTGGGATACAGCCAAGTAGCCCACGGAAACGCGCGATTGTCGCGCGTTTTTTTTACCGCGAATCGCGGTAAAACGCGCAATGCGAACCGAGCAACAAACGCGCATATTCAATACGCCTAGGTGTGAACCCAGCCTTAATGTTGAGAGGTGGGGTTCTGCGACAGCCGTGATTAGTCACAGCAAAAAGTTTCCCAGCACACTCACCAGCCAGCATGCAAAAAAACTTGTCTCACCGCTAAGGTTAAAAACCTTAGCGGTGAGACAAGTATCCACCGCTCCATGTTCACTCCCGTGATGGGCTACAATCTCATGTTAAGTTTACGAATTTGTACTGAGATTCATCACTCCATCACGGGATCGAACTTGTTACAATACACACAGGGACCATAGGGAACAAAAGTAGCCACCCTCTAGAAGGAAGGACAGTGTCAGCACCAATTCAGAGATGATTGGAGGATCTACACTTGAGTTATACACAAATAAGATACATTTTTGTGTATAGTTAAAGCCCATCCACCACGCTGCCACATACTGTATATGTGTTGTGCTGGTGGTAAGGGTTTAAGGAACGAGAGTGAGAGATGTGATTTTACTCGGCTCCATTAGGTTGTTGATGGCATTCAAGCAAAGTACTGAATTCTTCATACTGGTAAGCACTTAAGAAGCACTAATGATGAAAATATCGGTATAAATAAGAAAGTACCGGTGCTGTTATGTTATGTAAAAATGTAATTTCAATGTAATTAATAGACAAGTTGAGGTGATGTGTGAGATTTGTTTACTACATGAAATCTATATTAACAGCTTGTATAATTATAGAGGCAGTTTCCTCATGTTTATATTAGAATAATGACATCATTACCAACACTCCTAATGTGTATGGGATGTGTTAGAGATGCAATATTACCTTGTTATAGTGATATCACAATACTTTTCTTGGACTGTATTTCTGTTGAAGCATTGTACAACAAAACTCATGATTGAACATTAGGAAAGCGCTGCTAAATAGTAATTGTATTTTATATTTTCTGGGATGACGAAGGCATAGAGCCACTGAAGAGAAAAAATTACTTGATGCTAGCTAGCTCAGTCGTCTTCTTTTTTCCATTCTTTGTTGTTGTTCCTGATGCCAGTAATTTAAAGTAACATTAAACTTTTGGAGTTTTAATAATGAATCCGGATCAAACAAATATACATTGCCCAGCAAAGTTTTTTATTTTTTTTGCCTATATACTTTTTCACTGTCCTTACCAAACAGCCGACTCCAAAACTCTCAGGTCCACTTTTTAAAACTTCCTGTCCAGTACAAGATCACAAGAAATCATTTCAGTTTCCAGCAGCTGTCCATCTACTGTGTTTGTAGAGGCCACTTACTATCGCACACAAGGGTGGCTCCATTGGACCCTGCGAAGAAAAGGAGCCGCCCTAAAACAGGATATCAGGACCAGTGCTCAGGGGACCAGCTGATTCTGCAGGAAACTAAAACTTTTAAACATCAAGGAGCAGCATCCATTGTAAGTGATTTCATCAGCATTTGAAATAGCTTAAAGCATTTTCAGTTTATTATTACTTTAAAGTTGAACTCCAGGCAGTGAACTTGGTTTTGATGCAAAGAGATGACCTCAAATATCTGTTGGTACTCCTTCGCTGTGCAATCACAAGCTGGGTGCAGGAAAGGTGCCAATGGTCAATTTCTTAAAGTGGCACTACACTCAGGAGTTAAATCCTAAAAATGCATTCAAGTACCTAAACTATTAACAAAAAAATGATCTTGTTTGTGTATCACTCGGCTGTAGATCCTCAAATCACCTCTGAATTGGTGCTGACACTGTCCTTCCTTCTGGAGGGGGGCTACTTTTGTTCCCCATGGTCCCTGTGTGTGATGTAAAG